TTGGGCCCTGCACCCCACGGGAGACCAGGAGAAGCACCTGGCTCCTGCCATCGGATCAGCGTTGTGCGCCGGCCACTGCGGCCATTGGAGGGTGAACCAATGGCAAAGGAAGACCTTTCTCTCTCTCTCTCTCACTGTCCACTCTGTCTGAAAAAAAATAAAATAAAATAAAAGAATATTTGGAAAGAAAAACTGTGCTTGTACTGAACATGTACAGACTTTTCTTTATCGTTATCCCCCAAACGACAGAGTGTAACAACTGTTCGCATACCATTACGGTAAGGTATATAGAATGAGGTGCATAGGCTCCATACAAATAACTACAAACACCATATATGGGGAACTTAAGCATTTGCAGATTTGGGTATCCTGCCCTGAGGGCACTGAAGGATGGCTGTACGTTTAACTATAACGAACAGCACACAAAGATAACCTAGCAAACAAGGTTATCACATTTTAACCAAGAAATACAACAGATGACAGAAACAGCCCCAAAGACTTCAGAGATTGAAATTACACAGACTACAGAAGAGTTACTATGCTTAAGAAGCTGCTGAACAAATAACAAAAGAAGATCAATGTGCATTTAGCAACAACAGAACATTACACATGTGACACAGTGAACTATGAGCCCATTCAAAGAGACTGGGGCAAGGGGAAGTTTTGCTTGTTTTTTTTGGTTTAGTGATTTATTTTCATCTACTTGAAAGGCACTGTGATAGAGAGAGACAGACACAGAGATCGAGAGCTTCCATCTGCTGAGTTACTCCTCAAATGCCCACAACATGCACAGCTAGGCCAGGCTGCCGCCAAGAGCCTAAAACTCCATCCAGGGCTCCCACGTGGGTGGCAGGGACCCAAGCACTTGAGCCATCATCTGCTGTCCCCCAGGATGCATCAGCAGTAAGCTGGATCAGAAGCAGAGAAGCCAGGACTCAACAGGCACTCCATTATGAGTCGCAGTGTCCCAAGCAGTGGTTTAACCCACTGGACCACAATACCTGCCCCAAGGAGAAGTTTTTAAAGGCAAAACAAGGAGAACCACACTTCCCATCAATCCCTATCCAATAAAATGATTCAATCAAGTTTGAATGTATGTGTGTGTGTATGTCTATATATATGTATGTATACACATACACACGCATATTTTTGGGGTCAGTTATACTTGGCTATCAAGATCAGGAACAAGGTGGCATCAGTTCAAAGTTGGACAGACAACTGCTGGACATACATCCCTACGGAAGTACTTCCTGTATAAGGCGTCAGTGACCTCTGTACAAGGCTGTGGCTCTGCAGAAGAGCTGTGAGACGGCTCCTGTCAGGAGTGAGCGCTCCTCCTTCAGAACCTCTCATCTTTGCTTTTGTTGTTGTGAGGTTCTGACACAGCAGCTCCATCTCGATTCTGATCATTTTCACAAAGTAAAAGTTAAATAATTCTAGAAAATCTATTAGAAAACTAAACACTATATTTATAACATAACAAACCACTGAATATTAAAAATGAAAAGGAGATATAAAATAAAGAAGGGGAGCCTATCAGGTCTAGCAGTTAGGCTGCCTGGTAAGACACTCCCACTCCCAGACCAGGGCGCCTGGGTATCTTGATGCCCACCTCCAGCCCCTGTTCCAGCTTCCTGCTAATGCAGACCCTGGGGAGCAACAGTAATGGCTGAAGTTACTGGGTTCTTGGCACCCGTGAGAGAAACCTGGATAGAGTACCTAGCTCCCAGCTTTGGCCTTGGCCCAGCCCTGCTGTCACAGGCAACTGAGAAGTGAACCAGTGCCTGGGGCACTCTCTCTTTTTCTCTCTCTTTCCCTCTCTCCCTCCCTCTCTCTCTTTGCCTCTCAAATGAATAAAAACAAAGGAAAGGTTTAACAGATCAGAAACAGCTGAAAAGAGTACTGGTAAACAGGACAGAAAAAAATGTTCATAATATAGCACAAAGACAAAAAGTAAAACACATAAAAGGTAACTGGATAAGGTTCAAATACATTAACCAGAGTACCAGAAAAAGAAGGAAGAAGGCATGGGGCAAATGCCATATCTGAAGAAAACAGCTGCTAATTTTGAGAACTGATGAAAACTACCAAACAGTTCCTTTTTCTTTGAAAAAAAAATATTTATTTGAAAGAGAGAGAGAGAGAGAGAGAGAGAGAGAGAGAGAGAGGTCTTCCATCCTTTAGTTCATTCCCCAAATGGCCACAAGAGCCAGAGCTGGGCTGATCCAAACCAGAAGCTTCTTCCAGGTCTCCCACATGAGTGCAGGGGCCCAAGCACTTGGGCCATCTTCCACTGCTTTCCCAGGCCATAGCAGAGAGCTGGATCGGAAGTGGAGCAGCCGGGATTTGAGCCTGCACCCATGTGGGTTGCTGGCACTGCAGGCAGCGAATTTACCCACTATGCCACAGCACCAGCCCCCAAACAATAGTTTTAAGAAGCACAGGACAGGCAGGCACTGTGGCATAACAGGTTGAAGCCACAGCTTGGGACATCCATATCCCACCCTGAAGTGCCAAGTCCCAGATATTCTGCTTCTGATCCAGCTCCCTACTAATGTGCCTAGAAAGCAGCAGATGGTGGGGCCAGTGCTGTGGTGCAGCGGGTTAAGCCACTGTCACCTGCACTGCCGGCATCCCATGTGGGCGCCAGTTCAAGTCCTGGCTGCTCTAATTCCGATGCAGGTTTCCGCTATGGCCTCAGAAAACAGTAGAAGACGGCTCAAGTACTTGGGCCCCTTCACCTGCGTGGGAAGACCCAGAGGAAGCTCCTGGCTCCTGACTTCAGATCGGTGCAGCTCCGGCCATTGTGGCCAATTGGGGAGTGAACCAGTGGATGGAAGACCTCTCTCTCTCTCTCTCTCTCTGCCTCTCCTTCTCCTTCTGTGTAACTCTTTCAAATAAATAAATAAATCTTAAAAGAAAGAAAGCAAGCAGCAGATGGCTCAAGTACTTGCGATCCTGCCACCCACATAGGACACCCAGATGAAGTTCCCGGCTCCTGGCTTCAGTCTAGCCGCTGGCATTTGGGGAGTAAACCAACAAAAGGGAGATCTCCTCTCTCTCTGTTGCCTTTCAAATAAATAAATCTTTAAAAAAATAGTCCAGTGAAATACTATTCAGCCATTAAATAGAATGAAACTCATTTTCAGCAATAGTGATGAACCCAACATTATGTTAAGTGAAATGTTACATAAGCCAGGCACAAAACAAATATACACTACATGAGTCTCACTCATTTGTAGAATCTAAAAAGTTAATCTCAGGAATAGAAAGTAGAACTGTGGTTACCAAAGGCGAGGAAAGGAAGGGAGATAGGAAGAGCTGTGACAACGCATACAAAGTGACAGATGGCAGGAATAAATTCCAGTGTTCTACTGAACAGTAGGGTGACTTTAATGAACAATAATATATTGTATTTTTCAAAATAGCTAGAAGGGCAGGTGTGTGGCATAGTGATTAAGAAACTGCTGAGGGATGGGGCCGGAGCTGTGGCGCAGTAGGGTTAATCCCCCGCCTGCAGCGCTGGCATCCCACTTGGGCGACGGATCTAGTCCCGGCTGCTCCTCTCCCAATCCAGCTCTCTGCTATCACCTGGGAAAGCAGAAGATGGCCCAAGTCCTTGGGCCCCTGCACCCACAAGGGAGATCTAGAAGAAGCTCCTGGCTCCTGGCCTCGGATCAGCCCAGTTCCAGCCATCGTGGCCATTTGGGGAGTGAATCAGCAGATGGAAGACCTCTTTCTCTCTGTCTCTCCCTCTAACTCTGACTTTCAAATAAATAAATATTTAAAAGAAAAAGATTTCAATAAAAAAATCAAACAAGTTGCATAAAAAAACTGTTCCAAAAGGGGATGATAACTAGTGCTGACACAGAGGCCTGTAGCCCGCTAATACTAACATACAGGCCACCTTCTACACTCAGTACAACTCAGCAACAACCAAGGAATACTGACATGATGCGTTCCAAGGGTGTGGCTCAACCCGGGGAGATGACGCAGCTCTGCATTCTAGAAGTGGCACTAACTGAGCATAAGAGTCACCGTAAAGGAAAATCAAAAGGACTCAGTACAACTGACTAGGCTGGCAAAAAGGTATCAAAAATGACTCTAACGTTGTAATGGAGGAAGAATGGAACCAAAAACTGGGCACATGAATTTTAAAGGAAATACAATGTTTATTTTAGACAAAATGTTTGCATTGGAACATCTGAGTAGAAATGTCTAGAAGAAAACAAAGAGGTTAGGGGCAGAGCAACAATTTTAGAAATCTGTATACAGAGACCATAACTGAAGTCACTGTGTAGTTCTAACTCCCAAACTACTAAGATTCCTTTTCCTCAAACTAGTGCCCCGTTGCAAAAAAACTGGATCCCACAAAATACACCATCTGGAGGAAGCACACAGGCACAATACTAAAAAGGAGGCTGTGTCTCAAAAACAGGCAACCCGGGGATAACACCAGCAGAGCTTTACAGAGTCTGACTTGGAAAGACCAATGTACAGATCTCTGTCCCATCACTGGCAAGCAAACAGAATCAGGCTGCACAGCCACACACGGAAACATCATCACTGCTCACCACGTGCACAGCGCCTACTCTCCATCTTACACTCAACAGCACGCAGATACACTCTGTTTACAGGATCAGAACTCCCCCCTCCGCTGGGTACATCCGGATTTATTAGGTGTGTGTGAAATGCTCCATAAAAGTTTTCCTCTTATTGCTAGGAAAAAAGTTCCCTCAGAAATATAAAAGACTTGCCAGGAGCAGAGACATAACTTTGAGCTGCTAAACCGACCTGAACGTGACCGAAGAGGCAGGAAGACACAGTGGTTTCTTCCTCAAAAGCAAAAATGATTCAGGATACCCAAAAGCTTCCCAGCTTCTAGAAGGAGGGAGAGCACAGGAGATGCAGTCCTTAGATCACAGTGGGAGGTGAACCAAAATCAGGGGCCATGGAAGCTTAAAAACACACTGATGAACACAGTCAAAAAATAAACTTACTCTTTTCAATGAGCTGGTCCTGAACTCCTGCCAACGCACTCACTGCCTGAAAGAGAAGCCACCAGTTACTAGAAAAGTGACCACAGGCCTCAGGAGGGCACTCAGGAGGGACAGGGAAGGAAGGGAGAGAGAAGGCGGCCGCCCCACAACAGCCGGCCTCCACTTACAGCTGCCGACGTCACCGAGGATTTACTGAAGAGCCGCTCGGCTTCCTTAAACTTCCGGTTCCTTCGATCATTTTTGCTATTGGAGTTTCTACAACACACAGAAGGATTTCATTATAAGCACCAAGCTGTCTATGATTATGGCTCAGGCTAGGGATGCCCCAGGGCAGATGCACAGAGAGCTTTGCTTCTATTTAATCAAGTTCCACCCAGAAAAGCTCCAGGTCACCTGGACTACTGGCGGATGGCCCACGCTCACACGACACAACCAGCCACGTTTCCCAGGGCTGGGCTGGGCTGCGCCCACCCAGGAAGACACTAGTGTTACAGTTGCCTCACAAACACTTGCATATGGATTGATTTTAATGCTTACTACTAAAAATAACCAACAGAGACTAGTAATAGGAAGTATCTCAGTTACATAAGTTTAAGTTTGAAATTTAAAGAAAGAACTAGGGGGCCGGCGCCGTGGCTCACTTGGTTAATCCTCCACCTGTGGTGCTAGCATCCCATATGGGCGCCGCGTTCTAGTCCCGGTTGCTCCTCTTCTGGTCCAGCTCTCTGCTGTGGCCCGGGAGGGCAGAGGGAGGATGGCCCAAGTGCTTGGGTCCTGCACCCGCATGGGAGACCAGGAGAAGCACCTGGCTCCTGGCTTCGGATCGGCGCAGCGCCAGCTGTAGCGGCCATTTCAGGAGTGAATCAACGGAAGAAAGACCTTTCTCTCTGTCTCTCCCTCTCACTGTCTATAACTCTACCTGTCAAATAAAAAAAAAAAAAAAAAGAAAGAAAGAAAGAAAGAAAGAACGAACGAACAAACGAATGAACGAACTAGAGGCCAGGGGTTAACGCCCTGGCCTGAAGTGCTGGCATGCTGTATGCGCGCCGGTTCGAGACCCGGCTGCTCCACTTCCTGTCCAGCTCTCTACGATGGCCCGGGAAAGCAGCAAAAGATGGCCCAAGTTCTTGGGCCCCTGCACCCACATGGGAGACCCAGAAGAAGCTCCTGGTTCCTGGCTTCAGATCAGCACAGCTCCGGCCATTGCGGCCATTTGGGGAGTGAGCCATCGGATGGAGGACCTCTCTCTCTCTGTTTCTCTCTGCCTCTACTCTCTCTGTGTGGAAGGAAGGAAGGAAGGAAGGAAGGAAGGAAGGAAGGAAGGAAGGAAGGAAGGAGAGAGAGAAAGAAAGAGAGAAAGAAAGAGAGAAAAAGGAAAGGGAAGGGAAGGGGAGGGGAGGGGAGGGAAGGGAAGGACAGAACTAGGGGCCAGCATTGTGGCACAGCAGGTTAAGCTGCAGCTTCCAAAGCCAGCAAGTCCTTGCTGCTCCACTTCTGATCCAGTTCCCTGATACTGTACCTGGGAAAGCAGTGGAAGATAGCCCAAATGAATGGGCCCCTACCATCCACTTGGGAAACCTGGATGGAGTTCCTGGCTCCTGGCTCCTGGCTTCACAGCCCTGGCTGTTGCAGCCGTTTGGAGAATGAAACAATAGACAAAAGAGCTCCCTCTCTCTCTTCCTCTCTGTAACTCAACCTTCCAGATAAGTAAATCTAAACATAAATAAATACACAGATAAAGGATCCAGAGCTCCTTAGAGAAATGGTGGATACCAGCTTTAAGTCAAGAAAAGGATAAGTCGAGCCTGGAATAATTTGGGGGCCAGAAAGCAGCAAACTGCTCCAAGACTAATGAGGGTCATACAAAAAGGGCCAAGGAGCCAACTTAGGGGACTCCTCTGACCACATTGGGGGGCAAACAATGAAAGGTAACGGTGGGTATGTTTAGTTTGTGAAAACTCATTGTACTGAATAACCAGGATATGTGCACATCACTGTATTTATTTCAATAAAAAAACTTATACTAGGGGCCGGCGCTGTGGTGTAGTAGGTTAATCCTCCACCTGCGGTGCCAGCAACCCATGTGGGCACCAATTCTAGTCCCGGCTGCTCCTCTTCCAGTCCAGCTCTCTGCTGTGGCCTGGGAAAGTGGTGGAGGAGGCCCAGGTCCTTGGGTCCCTGCACCCTCATGGGAGACCAGGAGGGGGCACCTGGCTCCTGGTTTCAGATCAGCGCAGCTCCGGTCGTTGCAGCCACCTGGGGAGTGAACCAGCGGACGGAAAACCTTTCTCTCTGTCTCTCCCTCTCACTGTGGCTCTATCTCTCAAAAAAATAAATAAAATCTTAAAAAAAAAAAAAAAAACTTATACTACTAGAAAAAAATTTTTAAAAGTATAAGATCTCAACCCATTGACTCTTGGAAAAAAACCCATGACTATATAATGACACTAGAGACAGGGAAACAAAGAGAAGAAAGGAATGGACTGTCTAGAATATCAGTAATAAATGTAAAGAGAATAACGTTAGAATCACCATTATGCAACTTCCAGGACAATAACTGATTTAGCACCCATCAACAATGCAGGGAGGCTGTCCCACAGTGGCTCAGATGCTGCTTAGGAGGGCTACGTCCCATACACGAGCCTGCTCCAGATTCTAGCTTCCTGCTGTGTGTCAGATGGGAGGCACCCGAGTCCCTGCCACCCACAGGGGAGACCTGGATTGAATTCTGGGCTCCTGGCTTCAGCTTGGCCCAATCCCAGCTGTTGTGGGCATTTGGGGAGTGAACCAATAGAGGGAGGAGCTCTGTCTCTGTCTCTCTGCCTTTTAAATAAAATCAAAACAATAAAAAATCTGTTTTAAAAAAGGATCAAGGGCTGGCACCGTGGCTCAATAGGCTAATCCTCCGCCTGCGGCGCCGGCACACCAGGTTCTAGTCCCAGTCCGGGCGCCGGATTCTGTCCTGGTTGCTCCTCTTCCAGTCCAGCTCTCTGCTGTGGCCCGGGAGTGCAGTGGAGGATGGCCCAAGTGCTTGGGCCCTGCACCCCATGGGAGACCAGGAGAAGCACCTGGCTCCTGGCTTCAGATCAGCGCAGTGCGACGGCCGCAGCGCGCCAGCCGCGGTGGCCACTGGAGGGTAAACCAATAGCAAAAGCAAGACCTTTCTCTCTGTCTCTCTCTTTCTCACTGTCTACTCTGCCTGTCAAAAAAAAAAAAAAAAAAAAAGGATCAAGGGGCCGGTGCTGTGATGTAGTGGCTAAAGCTTCTGCCTGCAGTGCCTGCATCGCATATGGACACCGGTTTGAGTCCCTGCTGCTCCAATTCCGATCCAGCTCTCTGCTATGGCTTGGGAAAGCAGTAGAAGATAGCCCAAGTGCTTGGGCCCCTGCACCCATGTGAGAGACCGGAAGAGGCTCCTGGACCCTGGCTTCGGATCGACGTAGCTCTGGCCATTGCAGCCAGTTGGGGAGTTGAACCAGCGGATAGAAGACCTCTTTCTCTTTCTCTCTCTCTGCCTCTCTGTGTAACTCTGACTTTCAAATAAAAAAAAAAAAAAACAATTAAAAAAAATGATCAAGAGTGGCAATGACTACTGAAATAAATTTGAGAAAGTGTAATGTCCAAAATTACTTGTTATTACAGTGGGGGAAAAATGTACTTTCACAGCAGAGAAATCCCGCGATTAAACTTAGCAGCATCGGAAATGGGACAATCTGACGCTGATAAAACAGAGGCAGATAATAAGAGGTATAAAGTAACATGCAATGGTCCCCCAGAAATGTCTAAAGGATCTCTCATGAAGTCACAATAAGAGAAATCTGGAACTGGAACATTCTGCAAGACAATGTCATCAACCACAACACAAGCACCACCAAAAGGAGTGAGAAAGGGACAGGCATCTAGGGCAGCAGCCTAGGCTGCTGGTGCGAACACCCAACCCCGGCCTTGCAGGCATCTGCGAGGTGAGCCAGTGGATCAAAGACTCTGTCTCCCTTCCTTTCAAATAAAATACAAGTAGACAAACATTAAACAAAAAAAACGAATGAAGGATTATCCTAAACCTTAAGACTAAAGAGAGGGGCCAGCGCTGCAGCATAGCAGGTAAAGCTGCCACCTGCAGTGCTGACATCCCATATGGGCGCTGGTTTGAGTCCCTGCTGCTCCTCTTCTGATCCAGCTCTCTGCTATGGCCTGAGAAAGCAGTAGAAGATGGCCCAAGTCCTTGGGACCCTGTACCCATGTAGGAGACCCAGAAGAAGCTCCTGGCTTCAGATTGGCTCAGCTCCGGCCATTGCAGCCAACTGAGGAGTGAACCAGCGGATGGAAGATCTGTCTCTCCCCTCTACCGGTCTATAACTCTACCTCTCAAATAAATAATAAAATAAAATCTTAAAAAAGACCAAAGACAGGACCGGCGCTGTGGCTCAATAGGCTAATCCTTGCGGCGCCGGCACACCGGGTTCTAGTCCCGGTCGGGGCACCGGATTCTGTCCCGGTTGCCCCTCTTCCAGGCCAGCTCTCTGTTATGGCCCGGGAGTGCAGTGGAGGATGGCCCAGGTCCTTGGGCCCTGCACCCGCATGGGAGACCAGGAGAAGCACCTGCCTCCTGGCTTCAGATCAGTGTGATACGCCAGCCGCGGCAGCCATTGGAGGGTGAACCAACGGCAAAGGAAGACCTTTCTCTCTGTCTCTCTCTCTCACTGTCCACTCTGCCTGTCAAAAAAAAAAAAAAAAAAAAAAAAAAAGACCAAAGACAAATAACAGCCAAACATGCAAACATGGTGAATGAAGGCTGAACAGACCCTGGGTCGGAACAGAGCAAAACATTCTGGGGACAACTGAGGAAAGATGAACAGACTGTGTACCGGATGTTTTACTGCAGTATTAATTTTCTAGGTATGATGTTATGGCTAGGTCAGAGTTCTTATTCTCAGGAGGCAGCCGCTGACAGTTAGGTACAAAGTGTCGTGCATAACCTCTGCTCTAACTCTGTAGCGCTTCAGCAAGAAAAAGTCTAAGGGGAGCAGGCACAGAAGCGTAGAATGGTGTGGAGGAGACCTGTGTGGCGACTGAACAGTTCTGTGCACTGACTATGGTTACATGAACCTACACATGTGATAAAATGACATCCAACTGTAGATACCCATTGTACCAATGAGCATGTCCTGGTGCTGATGTGGCACCATATAGTTCTACGAAACATAACCAGTGGGGCAAACCGGTGGACTACATGAGGCCGCTCTGCACAATTTTTGCAACTTCCTATTAATCTATAAATATTTCAAATCTTAAAAAAAAATTTTAAGGTAGATACAGGTGTTTACATAGGTACAGTACAGTAAGGAAAACAAAGCAAATTTGGCAACATGTTACCAACTGGTGAATGTAGATGAACATGGAGTGCTCATGAACTATTTTTTTCAACTTTTCCATAGAAACAAAAATTGTCAAGGGGCAGGCCTTTGGCACAGCGGTTAGGCCGATGTTTGGGAGGCCCAGAGAAGCTGACAGGCTTGAGTCCCATCTGCTTCCAATTCCAATGTCCTGCTAATGTGCGCCCAGGGAGGCTGCAGGTGGTGACTCAAGGAGTCACCCAGGAGAGACTAGGACTGAGTTCTGCCTCCAGGCTTCAGCCTGCCTTTAACCTGATGGAAAATCTCTCTGCCTGTCACTCTGTCTTCCAAATAAACGTAAAAAAAATAAAAATTCTACCTAGGGCCCGCGCTGTGGCGCAGCGGGTTAACACCCTGGCCTGAAGCGCTGGCAGCCCATATAGGCACCAGTTCTAGTCCTGGCTGTTCCTCTTCTGATCCAGCTCTCTGCTATGGCCTGGAATAGCAGTGGAAGATGGCCCAAGTCTTTGGGACCCTGCACCTACGTGGGGAACCCAGAAGAGGCTCCTGGCTCCTGGCTTCGGATCAGCGCAGTTCCAGTCCTTGCAGCCATCTGGGGAGTGAATGAACCAGCAGATGGAGGACCTCCCTCTCTCTCTCTGTCTCCTCTCTCTGCGTAACTCTTTCAAATAAATAAATAAATTTTTTAAAAAATTTTACTTAAATTTTAAAAAATTTCCAAAATTTGAAAAGAATCATTTTTTTAACATTTTACTTATATGGGGGTTAGCACTGTAGCGTAGCAGGTTAAGTGGGTGCTGGCATCCCATATGGGCACCGGTTTCTGTCCCAGTTCCTCCACTTCCAGTCCAGCTCCCTGCTGATGTGCCTGGAAGGGCAGCTGAAGACGGCCCAAATGCTTGGGGCCCTTGCAACATGCAGGGGACCTGGATGGAATTCCTGGCTCCTGGCTTCGGATCAGTCCAGCCCCAGCTGTTGCACCATTTGGGGAGTGAACCAGCAGATGAAAGATCTCTGTCACTCTGCCTTTCAAATAAATGAAATATTTTTTAAAAAGATTTATTTATTTGAAAGGCAGAGTAACAGAAAGGGAGAGACAAAGAAAAAGAGGTCTTCCATCCGTGGTTCACTCCCCAAATGCCCACAACAGCCAGGGCTGGGCCAGGCCAAAATCAAAAGCCTGGAACTCTACCTGGTCTCCCACACGGTTGGCAGGGACCCAACCTTGTGGGCCATCTTCCACCACCTTCCTAGCACATCAGCAGGGAGCTGGATTGAAAACAGAACAGCTGGGATTAGAACTGGCTCTCTTAAACAGGATGCTGATGTCACAGGTTGCAGTTTAACCCCCTGTGCCACACAGCCAGTCCCAAAGAATAACACTGTAGTACAGTAGCCACACAGGTATGGCAAAACTTCCAAGGGTTGAACTCAAGACTGATCAAAATGTGGAAAACACTACCAGAGCTGTGCAGACTGTCACACGCCGTACTCCATCCAAGCCTTACACAGCTCTTGGGCAGGGCCAGACTCCCCCTGTTCTACTCGGGGAGGCAGGGGCGGACCCTCAGTGCCAGCTCAAGCCCAGACCTCCCTGCACACCACCACCTGACGGCTGCTGCCTCCCCGGCCCCGTGGCTGTCAACAACACACAATCCCACAAATGGGTATTTCGAGAGCACAACCTTTGGAAACTCACTTTTGGTTGGTTAGATAGCGGTCCCAGCCACGAATGATATTGCCATACATCTGAGTGTCTTCCAGGTAGCTTCCTTCAAAAGCATAGATCTGTCTCTCCAAGTTGGCCAGAGTTTCCTGGGAGACGACAAGCCAGGCCGGGGATTAGCTGTGCCCACACTGAAAGCCTGACCCTGGGCTTATCATAAACCCAAACTCACCCACATTAAACTACCTTCGTGGAGGGCTGGAGGACTCCAGGAACGGTAGGCCATTCAAGTCCAAAAGTCTGGATCTTTCGGGGTGATGGCCCGACCCCTTTGGGAACAGAACTCCACAGAGCCTGTCCCCAGGTAAACGCCCACACGTGCGGAATTCTGCACAGGGCTCTCGGAAACCCAAGTGTCAAGAACCGGGCCGAGGCAGAACAGGGGCAGGCTCCACGCCCACGCACAAAGGGGACCGCCACCAGGCGCGGAATGAGCGAGGCACTGGGCACTGCCCTCCCAAGGGCTCGGCAAGGCCGCCGGCCCCGGGCTGCCCGTTGTCATGGAAACCTGGAAGGGCGGCAGCAGGTGCGCCCAAACGCGGGGTGCACGTCACGGCTCCCAGTTTCCCAACCCGGTCCTCGTCCCCCGCCTGTCACCTTCTGGAAAGATCACACCCCTGCCCATCCCAAACACCCTCCCACGGATGGGCTCCTAGGACCAAAAGGGACCTACCCCCCCACCATCCTCTCAGAGACCAGACCGGCTCCCACACTCGCCTCATCCCCAAAGCCCACCCGCAGGCCGGGACCCGCCTCCGCCCGCGCCCACCCGCACGACCCACGACACCCGCCCTCTCAGGCGCCCGCACGCACACGCCCCGGCCCGCGGCGCCCTTCCTCCTCCGCGCCGCCGAGGCCCGCTCCCCGCCCCCTCCGGGCTCCGGCCGCCGCTCCGCCTCCGCACCGCCGGAAACGGCGCTCGGCGGCACGCGCCTCGGCCCAGGCCGCCGGACTCCCGGGCCGCGCGCGGCGTCCCCGGAGTAACCGACGGCCTGGTGCGGCCGGGCTGGCGGTCGGCGGCCGGGCGAGCGCGGGGCCCCACGCCGGAGCCCCGGGTCCCAGCCGCTCACCGCCAGCTCCTGCTTCCGCTTCACGAGCTCGGCAAGCTCCCGCCGGGTGTCCGGGATCTGCGGCGGCGCCGCCTTGTTGTGCATCGCCATGTTGGGCTGAGGCGGGCAGCAGCGGCGGGCGGCTGGGGGCGGGCCCTGCGATCCGCTGCCGACCGCCAGGGGGCGCCCGCTGCACTGCGCCTGCGCGAGCGGCTTCCGGAGACGCGCGCCGCCGGGCGCCGCGCTTGGGCGGGGCGCTGGGAAACCCTGCCCCGGGGATGGATCCGGCAGGTGGGGCTGCCGCACCTGCTGGGATCTGCCTTTCCGCACTAGGATTGGCCGGCGAGCTTTAGGGGCACCGCGGGCTCACAGTGTCCAAAGCCAGGCTCCTGCTGAGAGCTCCTAGTCTCTTGTACAGCCCCCTGGGGAATGACTTCACTGCCACCGAGGGGCCCGAGTCAGAGCCTGAGGGTTATCCTCACTCCACCCACCCTGGGTGAAGCTCCTGGCTCCTGCTTGGCTTGGCCCAGCCATGGCCATTGCAGCCGTTTGCGGAGTGAAGCGGCGTTTGGAAGACCTCTCTCTCTGTAACTCTGCCTTTCAAATAATTTTTTTTAAAGAATCCTTTATTTGGGGGTGGGCATTTGGCTCAGGAGTTAAGCGCCAGCTTGAGATGCTGGCGTCCCATATCGAAGGGCCCCAGTTTCAGTCCTGGGTATGCTGATTCCAGCTTCCTGCTAACCTGCACCCTGGGAGGCAGAAGGGGATGTCATGGGATCCTGCCACCCACTTGGGAAACCTGGGTTAGGTTCTAGGCTCCTGGTTTGGGCTTGGCCCAGCCCCAGCTGTTGTGGGCATTTGGGGAGTGAAGCAGCCAATGGAAGCTCTCTGCCTTTCAAGTAAAGAAAGAAACGTCTTTAATCCTTTACGTTTTACTATCTATATTCTCCATCTTGTCTATCTGCTAATTTCTGGGAATTTCTTTTCGTGTATAGATTTAGTAACCTGGGATCTTGCCAAACTCCCTTATTAATTTTAAGAAGGGTTTTGTAGTCCAGATTCCTTGGAATTTTTTTCTGTGACAATCATTTTATTTGCAAATAGGGAATTGTTTTATATTGTTACTCCTTCCCAATATGTATACTGTTTTTAAAATATTACTTTTTTAATTTTATTTATATTTTTGACAGGCAGAGTGGACAGTGAGAGAGAGAGACAGAGAGAAAGGTCTTCCTTTTGCCGTTGGTTCACCCTCCAATGGCCGCCGCGGCTGGCGCATTGCGCTGATCGGAAGCCAGGAGCCAGGTGCTTCTTCCTGGTCTCCCATGCGGGTGCAGGGCCCAAGCACTTGGGCCATCCTCCACTGCACTCCCTGGCCACAGCAGAGAGCTGGCCTGGAAGAGGGGCAACCGGGACAGAATCCGGCACCCTGACCAGGACTAGAACCCGGTGTGCCAGCGCCGCAAGGCGGAGGATTAACCTAGTGAGCCACGGCGCCGGCCAAAATATTACTTTTTAAAGGCTTATTTATTTGAAAGGCAGAGTTACAGAGAGGGAGAGAGAGGGGGACAAAGACAGAGACTGCGAGACTGAGCGGTCTTCCATCCACTAGTTCAATCCCCAAATGACCACAACAGCCAGGCTGGATGAGGCTAAACCCATAGAAGTCTCCCAGATCGGTAGCAGGGGCCCAAGGACTTGGGCCATCCCCAGCTGCTTTCCTGGGCACACTTGCAGGAAGCTGGACTGGAAATGAAGTAGCTGGAACTCCAGCCTGCACTCTGATACGAGATGTGGGCATCCCTGGGAGCACCTTAAGCTGCTGTGGCACGACACCAGCCCCTGAGTGCTCTTTACTCCCTCTCCTGTCTTACTGTGCTGATCAGCACTCCCAGTCATATTAAATAAGAGTGAGGAAAGTAGACATTGTTGCCTTATTTCCCATCTTTGGGGAAAAGCACTCCATCTTTAACCATGAGGTACAATGTTAGCTGCAGGGGTTTGTAGGTACTGTTTATCGTGATGAGAAAGTTCCTCTGTGTTCCTAGGGTACTGAGAGTTTTTATCATAAATGGTATTGACGTTCATCAGGTGTTTTTCTTGTGCCAACTGACACGTTCATATGAATGTTCCTTTGTTAAAGATGTATGTATGTATGTATGTATTTGAAAGGCAGAGTTACAGAGGAAGAGATACATACATAGAGGGACAGAGAAAGGGATCTTCCATCTGCTGGTTCGCTTCTCAAATGCCCACAGTAGCCAGGGCTGGGTGAGGCAGAAGACGAGAGCCAGGAGCTCCATCCTGTACTTCCACATGGGTGGCAGGGACCCAGCCATTTGAGCCATCATCTGCTGCCTCCCAAGGAGCAATTACAGGAAACAGAGCAGCTGGGACTTGAGCCCCGATATGGGATGTTGCAAGTGGGGGCCACACCACCAGCATTTGAGTTTTCTTCGTCAGCTTTGGATTATGTAAATTCACGTTCAAATGTTGAACTAGACGTGCCTATCTGAAATAAACCCTGCTTGGCCATCTTGTATAACTTTTTAATATACTGCTGGATTCAGTCTGTTAATATTTTGTTGAGGATTTTTTCAGCTAACTTCATTAGAAATATTGATCTGCAGCTTTTCTTTTGTACTGTCCTATCTGTATTACAGGCATTTTAAATGAGATGTGAAAGTTTCCCTGATTTTTTTTTTTTTTTTTTTGACAGGCAGAGTGGACAGTGAGAGAGAGAGACAGAGAGAAGGGTCTTCCTTTGCCGTTGGTTCACCCTCCAATGGCCGCCGCGGCCGGCGTGCTGCGGCCAGCGCACCGCGCTGATCCGATGGCAGGAGCCAGGAGCCAGGTGCTTTTCCTGGTCTCCCATGGGGTACAGGGCCCAAGCACCTGGGCCATCCTCCACTGCACTCCCTGGCCACAGCAGAGAGCTGGCCTGGAAGAGGGGCAACCGGGACAGAATCCGGCGCCCCGACCGGGACTAGAACCCGGTGTGCCGGTGCCGCAAGGCGGAGGATTAGCCTAGTGAGCCACGGCGCCGGCCTGATTTTTTTTTTAAAGATTGATTTATTTTACTTGAAAGTCAGAGTTACAGAAAGGCAGAGGTGGATAGAGAAATTGAAGTCTTCCATCTGCTGGTTCACTCCCCAAATGGCCACAACAGCCAGAACTGGGCCCATCTGAAGCCAGGAGCCAGATGCTTCTTCTGGGTCTCCCACATGAGTGCAGGGGCCCAAGGATTTGGGCCATCTTCTACTGCTTTCCTAGGGTATAGCAGAGAGCTGCATTGGAAGTGGAGCAGCTGGGTCTTGAACCGGTGCCTATATGGGACACCGGCATTACAGGTGGCAGCTTTACCCACTATGCCACAGTGTTGGCCCCTGAATTTTGTTTAAGATTTATTTATTTGAAAAGCAGGATTACAGAGAGAGAAAATAAGATACAGAAAGAGATCTCCCATCTGCCACTCCCTATATGGTAACATTAGCTGGGACTGCGCCAGGCTGAAGCCAGAAGTTTTATCTGGTCTACTATGTGGGAGTGGGAGGGACTTCGGCCATCTTCCGCTGCTTTCCTAGGCACATTAGCAAGGAGTCGGAGCAAAAGTGGAGCAATCAGGTGCCCATTTGGGATGCTGGTGCTGAGGCAACAATTTAACCCCTTGTACCACAGCAACAGCTCCTGTTCCCTACTTTTTTTTAAAAGATTTATTTATTTGAAAGGTGGAGTTTATAGAGAGAGACTCTCCACCTGTTGGTTCACTAGCCAAATGGCCATGATGGTCAGAGCTGGGACAGTCTGAAGCCAGGAGCCAGGAGCTTCTTCCAGGTTTCCCATGTAGGTGCAGGGGCCCAAGCCCTTGGGCCATCTTCTTTCCCAGGAACATTGACAGGGAGCTGGATCAGAAATGGAGCAGCCAGACTCCAAATGACGCCCACGTGGGTTGGCAACATCACATGCAGTGGCTCCACCGGCTAGGCCACAGCACCAGGCCCAGGGTTGTGGACATTTTTTTTTTTTTAATTTATTTGACAGGTAGAGTTATGGACAGTGAGAGAGAGAGAGACAGAGAGAAAGGTCCTCCCTCTGTTGGTTCACTCCCCAAATGGCCGCAACAGCTAGCGCTGCGTCAATCTGAAGCCAGGAGCCAGGTACTTCCTCCTGGTCTCCCATGCGAGTGCAGGGGCCCAAGCACTGGGCCATCCTCCACTGCACTCCCGGGCCACAGCAGAGAGCTGGACTGGAAGAGGAGCAACCCGGACAGAACCTGGCACTCATATGGGATGCCGGCGCCGCAGGTGGAAGATTAACCAAGTGAGCCACGTGGCGCCAGCCCCAGGGTTGTGGACATCTTAACCACCAGGATGAAGCCTAGCGTTAATGTTTGGTAGAATTCTCCAGGAAACCCTCACCAGCTGAGCCTGGAGATTTCTTTTGGAAGCTTTTTTTAATCCAAAATTCAATTTCTTTAATAGTTACAGGATTACTCAGATCAGGAAAGATTGGTAGTTTATAGTTTGCAAGGAATTGGCCTATTTACCTAATTTAATGTACATGGAGGCAGGCCTTTGTCCTTGTGATTAAGCTACGAGTTGGGACATCTTCATCCCCTTGTGAGAGGAACTGTCTGGATTTGAATCCTGGATCTGCTCTCATTTCCAGTGTCTTGCTAGTGCAGACCCTGGAAGGCAATGGATGATGGGTCAACTACTTAGCTGCCTACCCCCAACCCCCCCGCCAAGTAAAGGGGCTAGTGTGTGGCACAGCAGGTAAAGCTGGGGCATGCAATGCCAGCATCCCATTAGGGCACCAGTTTGAGTCCCAGCTGTTCCAGTCCAATCCAGGTCCTTGCTAATGCACCTGGAAAGCAGCAGAGAGTGGCCCAATTACTTGGGTCCCTGCACCCATGTGGGAGACCCTGAAGAACCTCCTGGCTCTTTGGCCATTGCAGCCATCTAGGGTGTGAACCACTGGATGGAAGATTTCCCTCCCTCCTTCTTTAAGTTTGCCTTTCAAATAAATGTCTTAAAAAAAAAAAAGGTTGGGGCTGGCGTTATGGCGTATTGGGTAAAGCTGCCACCTGTGACATCGGCATCCAATATGAGCAACAGCTGGAATCCCAGCTGCTCCACTTCCGATCTAGCTCCCTGCTAATGGCCTAGGAAAAGCAATAGAGGATGGCC